TTTTTTCTTAGCAGCGGCAGTCATAATGCGTGGGGCTGACTGCCTCACCCTAGGCGACCCCCCGGATGGACCTTCGTCTACATCCTCGCTTGCCTCGCCCTCAAGTTCCAGGGCCCCATATCTGTTGTGTAAAGGCAACCGGGAAGGTGAGGGAGGCCGGGCGGGGGTTCGCCTGGCACCCCGAGCAGGGACCCGTTTCCATCCCCCCCCGTCGCTTAGGTCCCCCCTTTCTACCTGGTGGCAAGAAGGCAGGGGATCCTCTGCTTCTCGCGGAGCCTCCTTCTGCTGCCTCTGCCTCAGGGACGGTAGGGTGCGGCTCCACCAATCTATCCACCAATCTATCTCCCTCAAGGAGATAGGCTGGGGTCTGCATCAGTTTTCCACCACAGAACCGCAGAGGATCCGGTGGATCCCGTGGGCTCTGGGTACAGCTTTCCCCTGCCACAGGCTGCAAGCCAGGAAAGCCGATGGGCTCTGACTTACTGGTTTATGCTGGGATGGCAGGCCCCCTCACTAGTATCAGTTGTCTCTTGCCTTTGCCTAACTAGAGCCCTGCAGGCAAGTCTGCAGGGCTGCCATACTCGTGGGGCTGCTGCCCGCTCCCACCACCTCGCAGCCATCACTGGCCACTGCAGCTGCGTTGCCACTCTGCATAATGGAGCAAAATGTCCCAAAAGCCACTTACTCCTCATTAGCCACCCGGGGATGGTGTGTTGCCCCTGGCAGGGCGGGCAGCTGGTCCAGGCAGACTGAAGCATCCGTGTCTGGGGGAGGAGGGCAGGTGGAGCCGGCTCTGCTGCACGTGGCGCAGCTTGTTTGCCTGCAGATCTGTCCTGCATGTGAGACAGCTTGTCTGCCTGCAGATCTGCCTGCCCCTTCGGCACGCACAACTCATGGAAACTGAGCCAGACTGTGGAAAGCAAGAGCAGAGAGGCAGCAGCAGCAGCAGAGTGGCATTGGTTGCAGAACAAGCTGCACAGCTCCATCTGTCCTTGCATGTGGCATGCACTGCAGACTAACACCCTGCTGGCACTGCCACCATCACCTCTCCGTGCATGGGCTCTGGTGGAGCAGCCCTGAGACCCTCTGTCCTGCCAAGGAGCGGAGGTGCCATGGGAGATGGGGCAGAGCTAGGCTCCATCCTTGAATAACCCTCCCTGCCTGCAGATGACTCCAGAGCCATGGTGTTTCCTCGGGTCTGGAGGGCCACATCTCTGGTCTTGCAAGGAAATGCTCTTTCAGACGAAAGAGCTGTATGAAACTTCATGACCTCCCTTATGTAAGACATAGGCCGATCTGAAAAGTGAGCAGAAAGCATTACAGCACAGCGCTGAGGGACACAGACAGATGCTTCTCAGTTTGGCAAGTCTCCCTGGATTGCTTGTGTTAAGGCTGCAGGGCTTGCCTGGCCAATTTGTGTTGGAGGACTGGTACGGTGCAATTCATTAGACCAGATGGAGATGTCTGCACCTCATCCCAGTCTCCACATCTGAGCCAGGGTGGGTGAACCGCACCCTACAAGTGCTTATTCCTTTCTGTGGACTGCAACTCTCTGTGCCATGAGCAGCACAGAGGCAAATGCACATACGTGTCTCAGGCTAAGTGAAACGGCTCTCTGCCCAGCAGAGAAGGCTGCATGTCATCTTACACATAGTGCAGCGTGCCCGGCTGGTCAGGATGAGACCTTGATTCATAGGCATGTGCTTTGGATTTTAAGCATATGATTATTTCCATGATAAGCAACACTTTAAGCCCAACATAGGCCATGTATGCCACTGAAGGAGGACTGGCAAGGGGAGGTAACACAGTGACTTGAAAAAGAAGCTAAATCTCTGCAGGGCACTTCCAGAGTGAGCAATTAAATCCAGCACCTATGGAAAAGCAGCCTCATTTTTCAAGAAGGTGGGGCATCTGTAAGTCCTCCTGTGGGCACGGGAGAATACTCTCTTCCCAGGAAATAGGAGTTTTTATCCTAAGTGAGGGCAGACATCAAAGCAAGTGAATACCTGAATGCAGTGTTGCAGAGTCGGTGTGTTTATGGCAGAGCCACTCAAAGAAGGGCATGTGGCACTGAACTGCATGAAGGTTTGCGAGTAAGACAGGAGCAGTTAAAGTGAGTGACGGGGGTGATTGGCATCTTTCTGAGGGTGAAGACCCAGGTGTGCTTACCTTATAGAGAGCAGACATTGAGGCAGAGCCCACCACCAGGGCTATCCCAATAACGGAGTGGCTGTGAAACCCATCAGCGTATGTCATCATAACTATCCCTGCAATAGCAAATATAGCAGCCACAATCTGGTTGGAAACAAAGAAAGAAAGGAAGTGTTACTGGACAACCCCCAACATGGAAAAACATGAGAGCAGCTTTAAATGAGAGGGCAGTACTTCTGCATCATCTGCTCCCCTCCTTATGTAGAAAACAAGTAGCAAGCCCAGGCTGGTACCCACAGAGCTAATGCTGCCTCCCCTCGTGGCTTCCCTGGCTGCAGAGAAGCTGCAGGAAGAGCTGGGACGGAGCGGCTGCCTTGGGGCGGTGTGCGGCAGGCCAGACCGCAGGGCCCTGTGTCTCAGACTGAGCTGAAGGGGGGATTTCATCTCTGGCACTGAGCCTCCCCATCAGCGAGTCCCTGCAGCCTGTGCATGACAATAATACACAAGTAATAATTCCCTGGTGCTTGCAGGAAAGGCTCTGAGTCCTGAGGAGTTTCTGGAGGAAAAAGGTTTTTGACATAAACAGGGAGATAAAACTCATGCAGCTACTTTCCATTTCAGACGTGTCATTTCAGAGAGTAGAGGGAGGCTCCATTGACCAGCCAGGCCCACAGCAATGCTTGAAGGGGGTCATCCAAAGGAAGGTGGCATTCACGAAGGAAAGGGATAGGCTGCCCCTGATTCAGCAGGGGTCTGCAAGAGACGCCTGGCTTCTCTGGGACTGTCGTGCGAGATGCCTCAAGCCTCCCCAGGTGGTAATTCTGGGGTGAAAAGAGCTTTCTGCATGCTCCATGCTTCCTGGTTCTGCAGTGGTGCGAAGGACGCCCTGCTTAGACCACATCCCCTTTGGCTGCACAGTCATGGTGATGCTTCTAAGATGACTGAGTTTATTTTGACCCATAGCTGGGTCAGTGCCAGCCAACTGTCCCCTCTCCCTGGGCCAGACCAGGGTTTTAAGCCCCATCCACAGGCTGCGGCTGCCTATACATCCAAGAGCAGTGGCCTCCTCTCACCTTTCCCGTTCACCACCAGAGATGCTGGGGCTGCTGTGAAGATGCACGGGGAAAGCCTGTGTGCCGAGCACTGCTGCCGCCTGATGAGCAAGCTGCAGTGGGGGGGGATCCCTTTACCAGCTGCAGGTCCCCATCCCGGCAGCACCAGCAGCCTGTTCCCTGGGTTGAGCTGGGGCTGGTGCCAGGGGGCACCTACAAAGCTTCCACAGACAACCACCCAGCAGATCCCTCCTGCATGCTGACATCAACACCTCCAATTTCCCCTAACAGAAAAATGCCCCTTTTTTGCAAACAGAAGGGGATCAATTTCTCCAAAGGTGTTGTGGTAGAATGGCAGGGCAGCGTAAGGGTGGAAAAAAGCCCATAACAGCAGAAGCTGACACTGCCTGGAAAATACAGCTGCTAATAGCATCTCAACAAGAAAAGGCTTGAGTCTAGAAATTGCTGCATGACTACAGCTTCAGCAGGCTATGGAGGGGCAAGGTTTCCCCCAGCTGCTCAGCCCCTTGCATGGCCCAGCCAAGGGGCAGCAGGTTCTGAAGATGCTGATTTATGACCTGATCAAAACAGAGCCCCGTGCAAGCTGCAAAGGCTGGGTGTGCACGCTGCAAATTTGGGGAGGTTCAGATATGGCATTTTGGCTTGCAGCCCTGTCGGCATCAGATCTCTCCATGCACAGCTGTGGGGCATCATTTCTAAAGTGAAGCTTGGCGGTGTTGTAACTGGGCCCTATGGTCCTGGACAGGCTTTTTTTTAAGGGAAGGTGAAAAAAAAAAACCCAGTGCGTGGCTCTACAGCAATGCGGGGCTGTTTCAGATAGGCAGGACTGAAGGAGCTCAGCAGCCCTCAGCAGTTCTCTCATGTCAGCATGCTGGTGCTTGTCAGATAAAAATTCAGACACTGTCTGGCTTCAGAGACACAAGAAAAAAGGTCATTGAATGAGACTAGCATGAGGCAGGTGCAGAACAAACAAAAAGAGATTTGTCTTCACCCAAAATATAATTCAGCCAAGGAAAGCTTTGCTGTTGCACACTGTGGATGTGAAAAGTTTACAAGGATAAACTCATGGAAGAAAAAAATCCATCAAGGGCTATTAACTATAGGAACATCACTTCCATCTCAGGAAGTCCTTGAGCCTCAAATTGCTGGAGGCTGGAAAGTCTCATGAGGAAATATCATTATAGGCTTTTCCTGTTTAGATGATTTTTCTAGGTGTCCACTACTGGCAGCTGCTGGAGCCAGGCTCCTGGGGCAGACGCACTTTTGCTCTGACTCAGTATGGCTCTTTGTAGAGCTGCAAGATACATGGCTTGGGCTTCTCTGAAAAATAAGGGCAACTCCAGCCCTTCATATCCCCTGTGCTACAGCCCAGGTGACAAAGAGTGGTAGATGCAGCGTTTCATGTAGCATCTGTTCCAGGCATGGCCGTCTCCCATCCGAGATGCGTGGGGCTTGTCCAGCCTTCACTGGAGAGCCGGGGGGAGACCACAGCCACAGGCCAGGCTGTGGCAATCAGCTGGAACCTCCATGCCTATTGGCGAAGGGAGCCCACCTGAGCCCCCGCTGGCGGCAGCAGCTCTGCTGCAGTGGAAACTTGGGGGGGTGCGTTAATGAACTGCAGAATAAAAAGCATCCAGTTTTGCTTTCCATGTCAGGGGCTGGCTGACTCCAGAGCACCTCCCGGGAGGCTGGGTCTCTGCCCCGTTGGAAAGGAAGACTATGATTTGGGATTTGATAGTATATTTATTTCCGAGTCCCACTGGCAGGTGTGCTTGTCTATATGTTACATACACAGGAGGTACCTGCAAGTGATGGTTCTCTTGAATCCTGAACTGTTTTATTTAGTGTAGCATGGAGGGAAACACCAAAGTCCAAGATCACAGCAAATAAATGCAGTGAGCAAACAGTTTTGCTGGGGCAGAAGTCCTTGCCTCTTATATCAAGCATGTCACGAGTGTCAGGTGAGTCTTGGCCTCACCTGTCGACATGTCAGGCATGTCACACACGCTTTCTCTGGAAGCCTTTCAGCCTGTCTATCGAGCACATCGTTAGCAGCAGTGACAGGCTGCTTGCACCGTGACACGCCACGGCTACCGGCCTGCAGCTACCTGCAAATGCCACAGCACCGCAGGGCTTGCAGAGGCAATGCTTCAGGCACTCACAGCTTCATTACATGTGTGTCTTCTCTGAAAATAATACGACAGCTCGCAGCCCAGTTGAACCGTGGCTCTGGGCACAGTGAAGGGAAAGGAGGTGAAGTGCAACTTCATTACAGGAGATGTAGGCACTTACAAGTGCCTGAGTGGTGAGGGTGGGATTTTATAGCTTGCTCTTACGTTTAAATTCCAGCCAAATTGTGATTTAAGTGCTTGTAGAGCTACTACTTGCACTTCTGAAGGCCAAGTAGGATACTTGTACATGCTTAAACCCCACTGAGATGCTGCCTTTCTCGCCTAGCCTCTCCTGCAGCAGGTGTGAACAGGGACATCCAAACATGCGGTCAGAGCTTTGCTGTGGCACTATCCATCCTGCTGCGCTGCCGAGGGGATGGAATGGGAGTATGGGAAGGCTCCCGCTCGCCGCAGGGCAAGGTACCATCCTCCCTGCAGCCTCGTCTGCCAAATACCCTCTCAAAGGGTGCTTCTAAAAGGTTCAGCAGCTCTGACACAGCATGGCCCCGAGGGACCGTGAGCTTTGGGGCTAGGCTGTGTGCTGGCTCGCAGTCCCTAAGTCACTCCCGGAGAAGCAGCTGTCCCTCCTCCTGGTTGCCAGTCCCAGGAAGAAGGCTTTGTTCTGGGGTTCATCCTGAGGCTATCCCCCAGCACGCCAGGCAGCGCCACCCTTGATATCTGCTGTTTTTCACATGGGCTGTACAGAAAAGGGAGATAAGGGGGAAAAAAATGCATCTTGCCAAGAGACTCCACACTACATCCCTCTGCAGATAGAAGCATTCCCAGCGCTCCCACGGTGGCAAATGAAGCTGGGCGGCAGGACTGCTGTGCTGCCCCATGCCCTGCCAGTCTCTAGGGACAAGCTTCTCCTCACATTTTGTCACTGGTCAGGATGCCACGTCTGCCCAAGAGCAAATAGCCCAGTCCTCCTGCAAGCCCCTTCCCCTGTGCCCAGGCCCCTTGCTGGCCCATCACCGGGGTGAGAGATGGCCATGTTCCTCCTTGGGCATGGAGGTGGCTTCTCAGGAAGCAAGCTCTGCCACCCCTTCCAAGTGCCAGGTGCCACGATGAGGGGCTGGCACGCATGGCAGGAGCATCACATGGCCTCCATTGCCCTGGCCTCTGCTCTGGGTCTCTGCTTCATTGCTGCTGGGTTTTGAGCAAGTCAGCCTTTCCCAAGGCAGTGCTGATAAGAAACGAAGGACAGCTGGACATGGCTGAGACCACCACTCGGGCCTGCTTCCCTGCTCCGTCCATTCCTTCTGCCCCTTTGGGAAGGGGGGGATCCAGAGCAGGATTTGTCCCCCAGCACGTGTCACCTGCCATGGCACAAAACCTAGCCTGGCCAGGAAGCTACTGGAGAGCCCCTAACCATCCCGGCTCTTCACGCACGGCCATGCACCCGGGAGAGCATGAGAAGCATCTCTGCTCCAGTGTGTGTGTGCCAGTGTGGGTATCCCTACATGCAGGTCGGCTTCTTTCCCCTCAGACCACAGCTGTATCCAGCGGTGAGAGATGGCACGTGCATACCAAGGGGCAAGCTGCACACGCAGGAGAACAGCAGTCAGCCCTCTACACACCTCCTCTCCTGGCATCCCACCAGCACTACAGCTGACAGTGCCACAAGATGGCCGAAGACCACAAAAATATGCTTTTTTTTTTTACCTTTATCAAAATGGCCAGCACGTCCAGCTACAATAACAGTGACACTTCCCTGCCTCCAGGATCATTTCAGGATACCCTTGCTTCTGTACTCAAAAAACCCAGTTAATTTGTTTTCAGGGTACGGCTACCTGGGCAGGTGGGTGGGCAAGCGCAGACACCAGCTGGCCAGGCCGGGTTTTTGGCAGGTACATTTTGCAACGATTCCCTGAGAAGCCTCTTGGCTGCCACCACCGCAAGGCTGGCCAAGCTCTCCTGCCGGAGAGGAACCCTTCCCGAAAAGTTAACTCTCGGTTGCTCCATGCAGTGTGGGGCAATAACCTCTTCTGAGCACTGAAAGCATTGCCCAGGTGGGTGAGCAGAGAGCTCCTCAAATGGTGGGTGGAAAATAGGTATTATTACCATTATTGCTGTTAATATTAATAAGTGCCTGCTGGTGCAGCGAGGCAGGAGAGACCCACTGGCGCCTCTTCCTTGCAGTTACTCCTGACCCTGGCAGGACCCCCTTGACCTGGGGGCAGAGGGTTACCCACCTGCCCAGCTCTGCTGCCAGAGGATACGGCATGCTGAGGGCCACCAAAATGGCAGCAGGGTCAGCAGGGAGCTGCGGGGGTTTCTGATAACCACCCCCCCCCGCACGTGGCTCTGTTGCCACTGTGGAGCGGGCGTTCACGGGAGGTGTAGGACTAAGGGTGTAAGCAAACATTTGGGATGCCACCAGGAGAGCAGCTCTGGGGGAGCAGGCCTGCCGCCCCGCTGCCTGCCATGCTGCCTGGCCCCGTGCCCATAGCTGCTGGCCAGACGCAAGTCCCCATGTGCCGGCATTACGCCAATCCTCCACCAGCGACACATGCACACTTCGGCCGTGGGTGGGCAAGGGTAGCCCAGCTCTCCTCTCTGCAGCTGCTGCTGACTGACATGGGTGCAAAGGGTAACTGTGCCACCCTGCAAGCCTGCTGTTGCGCGTAAGAAAGGCGAGGGCCCCATTAAATTCACAGGTTGGAACCAGAAACATATTGCGTGCAGCCGGGGCTTGCAGGAATGTGCAGTTAGAAAAAACTAGGTCTGGTGCCACAGCCTGGGAATTGTCACTCGGAAGGGGCAGGCAAAGGCTGATGCATGTCCACGGCAACATGGAGATAGCAGCTATCCTTCGTGCCACGCTCTGGAGCAAGTTACCTCTTTTCTGAAGGAAAATGCACAAAGGCAGCACGCTGGAGGAGACTGGGAGCTCTGGGAGCTCGCGGGCGCCTGGGCAGGCTGCAGGGAAGCATGTGTCCCCACTCCGCAAGGATTTCTGCACCCGCTCAGCCGTCTGCGTGGGGTGCTGCTCGACTTGGCCGGCGGAAGGGAAGAGAAAAGGAAAGGCAGAAGGGTGAAGTGGAAGAAGAGAGACAGAGATAAGGAGTCACTTACCCTCACTCCCATGAACCTGTCCCTCAGAACGATCCATGAAAGCAAGAACACAAAAGCTTTGTTGCAGCAGAACAACACGGAGACATCCGTAGTGTTTATTTTCTTTATTGCATGTAAGTAAAGGTAGTTTGTGAGTGTCCAAAGAACACCAAAGGGTGCTGCCTTGGTAAAAAACACCTTCAAAGTCAAGCCATTGTCTCCAAAAAATCGGCAGCACTCCCTAAAACAAGGAGAGAAAGGCAGCATTATTACACAAGCCAGTCACAGTCTGCAGCAAATATAGGGGTTTCTTTTCTTTCTTGCTCCTCTTCTTTTCCTTTGGGGAAAGAGGGGCACATGCCTTAAAGAGGAGAAGAAAAACAGGTTTCAGCGTCTGTTGCAACAGCCGTACAAACATGCCGGGGCTACAAACACGGGAGGGACAGCAATGAAAGAGTGAGGGGAGAGGTGAAGCCAGGAGGTGAAATTTCACCCTTGCCATGAGCGCCTTCACAGTGGACATCTTGAAACAGTGTGGGGTCATCCTCCTCCTTTCACCCCTGTGGGCACGCGGGTGCTGAGGTGCCAGGGCTGGCAGCAAAGCTCCTTGCTCCCAGCTCCTGCTGCAGCCATGGGACCCTAGTGCCCATCTGTGATCTGCTATACAGGGCTTGGAAGGAGCCTCGCGGGAGCCCGGTTTGGGGTTTTTCCACCCAAGGGGTGGGACCTGGTTCAAGCCCCCCCGGCAGCAGCCGGGGCAGGAGGAGGCGGCTGGCAGCTGCCCGCTCCTGCTGGGGTGAGGACATGCACGGCGGCACCCGGCAACATGCTGGGTCAGTTGGAGCAGCAGCACGGAGTCAGGAGCTCACGTGTACAGCAAGGGCTGGGGATGCTGCGAATCCCCAAGCGGGAGGCAGCCAGAGCAGGTACGGCCCTGGTGCAGGAAGAAGAAACACCAGCGGTTTATTTGTGTCCCGGAGGCGCTGGTGGGCAAAAGGGGACAGGAGGTGATGGGTGCAGCCTGGCCCTGCTGGCACGGCTCTGGGGAGGCAGCGGGTGGGGGCCGGGATGGGGCTGCAGGGGTCACCTCTGTGGAGGTGCTGCGAGGGGAAGCCTGCGTGCAACCCGCTTCTGCCGGGCAGCAGAGCTGGGAGCTGCCGACTCCATGGAAATTCGATTACACAAAGAAGAAATGCAGCGGTCTGCGAGGCGGAGGGTGCAGCCTGCAGCCTGCCCAAGTGTGCAGGTGGCAGGCAACGGTGGTGCCGTGGCCTGTGCTGGCTTTGCTTGCTTTCAAACCTGCAAAACCCCTGAGGCCCTAAAGTACTTTAATGAGGTGCTTTGACAGAATGTGAGCAAAATTAAATTTTCCTCTGACAACGAATGCCAAGTAGGTTCACTGCTGCCTTGAATTTCAAGCTGTTTCCTGAGACTGGGCATGTAAGGCTCATTATTTGGAGTCTGATGAAAGTGTGATTTTGATCCACTTTCTCAGAAGACAGGGCTGTATCAGGTGATTACCTAAAGAAATCCATCCACGCTCTGAGCCTCTTCAGTTCACAGAGCTCTTAGAGTTCACTAACTCTATGTCTGTCTACACCCTCCTCTGCTGCAGCAGGTACAAGGCTGCAGGGTAGAGGAAATGCATTTTTTGTGTTTGTTGGGTTTTGTCGCCTCCCGGTTTCTCATACCGAGTCATGGCTGTGCAGAACTTGCCCATCTCTTGTGCAGAACTTGCCCATCTCCGGATGTGATGACCCTGGGCTTTGGCTGCTGTACACAGACACTTTCATCTGAAGCGCTGGTTCTGCATCATGTCACTCAGTGTCACAGCCAGCACATTAGTGTCCCTTGTCCTCTGTGAAATTACTTGCTGGCAGCAGCCTATTCCCTGCCAAACCTGTTAACTGCCTCTCTGTATCAGTAAAAGAGCTACCCCTCTGCACCAGAAACCACAGCCTGACTTCCCACCTGCCGGTGCCGTGCAGAGCTGTTCAGGGATGTGCGCAGCACCGACAGACACTGCCTGTGCTCAGCACGTGACCTGGATCCACTCTCCCCTACCACAAACACTATACCCACTTCAAGTCTGGCCTTCAGCCCTGCAAAGCACTGGCTGTACCAGCCGCTGGCCTCAGGGGACTCAGGGAGTGCACGGGGATGCAGAGAGACATTGAAAAACCCAATCCTGAACTTCACTAGAGGCTTAAACCTGCTTCCCAAGACACCGGGGAGGGTTTGCCTGCCAGGGTGTCACAGGCAGCCAGTCTAATGCTCCAAAGACAAAAAACGCAGGCACAGCTTAAATTAAATGATGTTAAGTAAGACTAGTATGAGAGGGTAGGCCGTAGTCAAATGAAAGGACTAAAATGGAATTTATGTTGGGATTCATTCTGGGGAAAAAAAAGTTCCTCCTACCAAAAATCTGTTCCCCACATATAGAATTGGGTATTACTATTTCATGTACAGTAGAACATGTGCTTTTACTGTACTGTGGGCCTGACTCTTGTTTAGCAGATACCACTGGATGCATATGGTGGCACAGCCTGGCAGTCACCCCCATCCCTGAAGCACCCAGTGTAGTGCCACAATGCCCCAAAGGACAGCCTTGCCCTGGCACAGGTCAGGACCCTGAGCTGCATTCCCCCCTTTGGGAGTCTCCTCTCACTGGCCTATACAATAAAGCTTCCTTTTAGCTGTTTTGGCTGGTTTCACCAAGTCTGGATTGCTTCTTGTAGGCTGGCTCCAGCTTCCAAAGGAGACCTCCTTATGGCAGAGATTTCCCCATCCAGCATGGGGTTGTAAGGGAGCTTCTCCCCGAGGACACCCAGGGCTGTGTAGGGTGCTACCAGACGGGCACCCACGTCCACAGCGAGCACCATTGTCCTAAACAGGTGCACTGGTGAACCGCGGGCTCTCTGTGGGGGTAGCAGACGGGTTAGATGGCTTTCTTGGACCTGGAATCTTCAGTGAAGTCTGAGGAGCATTAGGGGAAACGTGGCATGTTTCGTGCGCCAGGATAACTATATGCCGTACAATAACCCCCTCACAATTAATTGTCTCCCCAGGTTTGCTACTGCTTATCGGGGAAACTGATTTTTCCTTGGTGCCATAACGCAGCTTGTGAAGCTGTACCAGGAAGCATTTGATGAAGAGCGTTGTCAGTGAGTAACGGTAGATAAATAGTTATGGGAAGCAAGACAGAACTGTGATATAACCCACACCAGGTAGGTTGTAACCCCAAAACAGTCACGGGACGAAATCACGCCAGAAAAACCAACCTTCAACTTTAAATATTTTGACAGAACATTTTGGACACAGTTGCTCCTGCTGTCCGGTAATTTCAGTTTTGCCCACAAGGGTACATTGTACCCAACGAGTATGCTGACGTTTTATGGATACTCTTTGGCAAAAACAGAGCTTGTGTCCTGTGGTGCTCCAGGCATGCCCGACTGTGCCAGGAGAGCCTGCCTATGAATATTTTAACAATATCTCATCTGCTAATGAAAATGTTACTTTTTAAGAAAGACAAATCCCACCCTACCCGGAGGGCAGTCTGTAAGCATTCAGCATCCTTTGGAGCTCAGCTCAGCACTGTGGACCCTCGTGTGAGGCCTGACCCCAAGTCTCCCAAAGCCATGGGACAGACGGGGAGCTGGGGTCAGTTCCTTGAGGTTTTACAGGACAGACTCTTGTGGGTCTACCTGACCAGGGCAGGACACGGAGAGAATCCTTTGCTTGCACTGGAGCAAGCCGTCTGCCTCCAGGCCAGTGGGGAGACAGTGCTGGGTGTCTCCTCCTGGGACAAGTATGCAATGGTGGTGGAAAAGCTGCTGGGGAAATGCCTGGCAGAGAGACCACCAGCCTCCTCCAGCTTTGACTGCTGGGGCCAGCAGCCAAGCTATCTCATTTCCAGGATAAAATACACTTTCTGCCTCAGTTTATCCAGGCTTTGGTCAGCCGGTCCCGCTGCACAGCTAGCTCTAGCTCATCTGGGGTGAAGAGGGAGGGTTACCAGGTGCCTGGAGGCTGCAGACTCTTCTCTTTGTTGGGTTTGTGTCTGGGACTGTATCCCTGCTGTTTGCTAATGTGGGCAGAGGTGCCAGAGGTGTGCTTTGCAAAGAAAGCAAGCAGGGATCCTGTAAACAGGTGCTGCCCTGTGCCCCTGGCGCTCACCCTTGCCCTGTGTGCTGCTCAGCCCGATGCTGCTGGCACATGGCAGGCGTGGGCAGCCCGCAAGCAGCCCAGCTGCGAGGAGGGGCCGTGCCTGCGGGGAGCAGTGATTTTTAGCAGTATGCGGTGTTTGCAAAGGGCTGGTATGGGCATACAGCATTTGCTAGGTGCAGCACCACTACAAATGCCTACAACTGCTGATGGCGAGCCCTGTGCCCAGGCACCGTGACACTGGAGTGGGTTTTCTGGCAAGCAGAGCTGAGCGGGGCTGTTGCCGTGTGCACACAACCAGCCCCTGTTGGTCACGGTCCTCCACAGGCTCCCTCTCCCTCCTCACAGAGTGTGCACTGCTGCCCATCATCCCTTAGACTCACTGCAAAGCTTTCAAAGTTCTCCTGGGCTGTTCACCTATTGAGCGAGAGACCCTGGCCTATCTTAAATAAAGGCACAGTTAACAGCAAGCAACCTTCCTTACTTATAGCATGTATATTTTCCACGTACCTCCAAGACATCCAGCTGGAGGAGGCCCTGAAGATGCTCTGGTAGTTCCCTGTGAGACGATTATGCGTGTGGCTCTAATAACCTGGCAGAGTGCCGAGTCCCAGGGACACAGAGTGGTAGAGGGGAGCTTCTGCCCACTGACCTTTAGGTATGTACAAGAGACTTTTTATGTTTGAGCTGGGACCCCAGGCTCTGTTCAGAGTCACCGGAGATGCACGTCCCTGAGCTGCCTTTGCTGCCCATCTCAGGAGGCACTGAGCCCAGGAAGAAGCTACTTCTGTTTCTCTCCTTCCGCTCTAAAAGGGACCGCAGGGCAAGGAGCACAGACACGGGCACCTCCAGTGCATGTCTGCCAGGAGAAATCCCACGCCCTGTGTTAAAAGAGAAACTGTCGTCAAAGACTGACCAAACCTACTCCTGCCCGCATTACCAGAAATCCTGTGCCTGCCGGTCTCACATACCACCTCAACCCTAAAGCTGCCTTGCTGCTCGCTTGCTGATACATAAATGAATTTGCTGGGCTCACTCTGCTCTGCCCACGGAGCAGTGGGACTTTCGGTGTGGACA